CCCCCCCCCCCCCCCACCTTTTCCATACAAAAATCTTTCAATACAGTCAGTTTATTTGAATCATTTGTGTAATTCTCCCCCCCTTTGTTTTCCAGCCAAAAAGGTGGACCCTAAAACTTTCTGAAAACTGGTTTGTTTTCTCTCCCCTTTTTTGTCTCTTTCTCTTTTACCTAAAACATTCTGAAAATGGGTTTCCTTTCCCTTTTTCCCCCCTCTTTTCCTTTTGCCTAAAACTTTCTGAAAACAGGCGTTTCCTTTTTCTCTTTCCCTTTTGCCTAAAGCTGTCTGAAGGGAAACCTGAACACTTCCCTCCCCACCCCTGTTTCAGCCCAATTCCAGCAGGAGGAAAGGGAAGCCCTTGCACTTGCAAAGAGGCACCCAGCTTGTAGCCGCATTGGTCTAGAGCAAAACTCGTGGTAGAGAGGATCTCCTTGATTAGACCAACAAGATTTTTGCAAAGAATTATTATTATTTATTTTGCAAAAATTTTGCTGGTCTAATCAAAGACGTCGTCTCCACTAAGAGTCCTGATGGCTTGTTGCAATTGCAAAGTCATCTTTCGGGGGGGGGATAAACGCCTCCATCCCGACACGTGCGACTGCAGCAGCCCCTGGGCTCTCAGGGAGGCCCGCCCCCGGCTGCGAACGCGTGGCGTTGCCATGGCAACTCCCGCCCCCGGGGGCGCGTTGCGACAGTTGGCGCGCCAGCGGCCTGCTTGACGGCTGCCCCGAGCAAACGGCCTGCTTGACGGCAGCGGCGGGGATTGGTGGCGGCGTTGCCTGGCGCGGGTGAGTCCGGGTGCAAGAGTTAACTCGTGTGTGCGCGCCCCGAAGGGGGGAGGGGCAGGAAGCGAAGCAGCGGGGGGTGTAGCCTGGAGGGTCGGCAGCAGTAATGGGTGTCTGATCCTCAGTGAGGACAAGCCTGGCCTAAAAGTCGGACCCCGGGATTTGCGGTAGAGGAGGGGGGAAAAAAAGTAGGAATGATGTCAGTATTGCCATTGATGTGCTAAATTTTTTGGGGGTTGCAGATATTCACTATGATGAGGTACAATCTGTGATGCTTGGTTCTACGAGGATGCCTTGTATTAGACCCGCTGGGAAACCACAAGGAAATGGTGCGAAAATAAAGTTTATTTCCAAACTTCTGCTTTCCCCAGAGCCTGATCAAGGGCCATTGAGCCCGAAAGCTTACAGAAAAGGACAGTTTTCTTGCAATTTCCAGCTGGGTCTAATGCAAGGAATGATTTTGGAGCCAAGCGTTCCTTTTTTTGTGTGTGTCATCTTATCTCAGAGACCAAAAAATAACTTTTTATCGTCTGTGCTATTCCCAGAGCTTGATGAAGGGCCGTTGAGCCTGAAAGGTTGCCAGAAAGGACCATTTTCTTGTGATTTCCCAGAAGGCCTAATAAAAGGGATTATTAGAGTTCTAGTTTTTCATATGTGGTCTTATCTCGGAGACCAACATGGCTACCAAGTACCCCTGAGATGCTCTATGATATTAGAAAGGAATCTATGCAGGATGAGGCAGAAAGAAACATGAAAATTCACCACCTGTTGGGCACCGTGTGTGTTGTCAATCCTTATAGCGGGGTAGGTAGGTTGTGTTGACCTAAAAGACATGGGCAGGTTGTTTGGATAAATCCGGTATCTTTTATTAGACCCACTCAAATAGTTGGAGAAAATTCTTCCTTGCCAGTTTTTGGGTGTAAATACCCTTCGCCAGGCTGAAAAAGCATCTGCAATTGGCGTGTGCTCTTCCTTAATGTCTCAGTGGGTCTAATAAAAGGTATCATCTCTGAACCAAGAGGTCTAGACTTTTGCATTTCTTTTTGTCTCAGACCATCCCTTCTTTCATATATGCCTTCAGCGGGAATAATCAGGAAAGTAAGAACTGCAGGAGACGGACCCTAAACATTGTCCTTTAGTTTTAGGTTTCGGCTGCCTTCCCTGCAAGTATGCTGTGTGAGATTTATGAATAAAAATAAAGCACCTGAGAGATATCAACTGAACTGGTGCTCTAAATATTTAGGGTAATGTGTTTCTCAGTAGCCCCTTGGCTTCTGCTGAAAATATTTGTTTTTGTGCTTGAATTATACTTTAGCAGTCCTTGACAACTGGCCAGCACGTGTTGACTTTTTCAGTGAAAATGAAGTTTCAAAGAAAACTTTGAAAATTAGCTTTTCGAGTTCTTTTTCAGTGAAAATGAAGTTTCTTTTCCAAGTGAAAAGAAGTTCAACTTCCTTTTCAGTGAAAACTTCTTTGAAAATTAGTTTTTCACATCATAATGGGAAAAGCTAAAAATTTGAGGGTTTTCTATAGTTAAAAAAAAGTTGGTAGTTTAAACAGGATCACTTGCAGTGCAAACCCAAAGGTATAAAAATTGAAAATCTTTCTTTTTTTTAAGAAGTCTGTCTCTCTTCAAGTGGAAAGTACTGTATAAAGGTGAAGCGCATCGCGACGGATAATGCAAATTGACATTGTTCTGAGGAGAATGTGCCTTGTTAAACCTGATTTCATTCATTAAGGAGGTTACAAGTTTGGCTGATAAAAGTTGACTGCATAGGTGTCCTACTGAAATGACTGCAACGTGCTTGACTTGATATCGTACAGCATTTTGATTGAAAAAAAAAATGAGCACCGTACAGTTCCAATAAAGAGCACATGCACGCATTAAGTTTTACAGTCTAAAAAATAATCAACAGCAGGAGGATCAGTATCAAGTAAGAAAATGTGTCTTGTGGAGTTGTAAAAGCATTCATGTGAAGACCAGATCACCAGTGTAAGCGTTGGTTAATGTTGAAAGTAAATATGTAATTGCTGCTTATAATTTGCTGATGATGCAAAAATGGGTAGGAATGGTATATGACAAGGAGTAATCCAGCATGCTTTGCAAGCTGTGGCCATTCAGACAAAATAAGCTTTCATATAGCAAAATGCAGTGTTGTCTCTCCAAGCAGCAAGGATAGAGTGGCAGCTGTATCCAAAGAATGGAGGACTGTTTTCAGGAGAACAATGACTGAAAAGGATCTCGAGGGGATTGTGGTGGACAATCAATTGAACATAAGCTCTCAATTCACTGCTGTGACAAAATGAGCTAATGTGATCTTTAGCTGCATAAACGGCAGTATTGAGGAGCAGGAAGGTGATACTACTGTGGGTTTGAGAAAGCCAGGACTAAAACGCTGTAAACATTTCTGATGTACGTATTTTAAAGGGATATTGAACCCTCTGCAGTCGTGCAGTGAAAAGCCACAAAAATGTTTTGAGGGCTGGACAGAATGTCTTACAGTGAGAGACTTAGACTGAGAGGTGGCTTAATTACAGCATATGAGTACTGCCGTGAAGGGAAAACGCTGGATATTGAAAGAGAAAGACATAACAAGAAGGAGTACTTGGAAGCTTAGATCAGGCTCATTCAGATTGGCAGGCAATAAGACACTCATGCTGAAAAGGATGATTAGCCACCATAACAAACTAACAAGGGAAGGGGTGGTTCTTCCATCACTTGGTGCTTTCAAATCAAGACAAAGCCTTTCTGAAAGGTATGGTTTAGCCAAACACAAAGTGCTGGGCTCAGGACAGGGGTACTTTGGCGAAATTCTTTGGCTGTATTATTCAGGATGTGTCTGCAGTCCATGCCAGCCTGGGATTCAGCGATTGGTCTGGTGGGAGAGCGGATGGTGCAGGCAAAAAGCCCATTATAGCAGGGGTGTCAAACTCTCCCAACTCCACAGGCAGGATCTAGGCAGCAGAAATCCTCACAGACCAGATTCAAACCACCTCCAATGGTAGTGGCAGCATGGGGGTTAACGCAGCAGTCACCCCCCTCTATCACCCCTTACTCCCCCACCACAGAAGCATATCCCCAGGCAGGGCTCTGTATCCCAGATTCAGCAATGGACCCTGCCCTTGCTTACCTCTCTTCTGAATTCGTGGCCCTTCCCAGGGCCTCGCAAGCCAGATGAAATGCGGGCCGGATCTTTGACATTGTTCTAGTAGGGTATTGAGTGCATACAGACCACTACCTTCAGAGTTTGTCAACAGATGACATTGTGATAAGAGTAGCACAGCAAACAAGTTTCATGGAAGAACAGAAGGAATTAATTGAAGCCAAAGAGTATGAGACTAAATCTGTGTGACATACATGCTGGTTTTCCTGCAATTGTAGTATTCTTGTCTTGCCTCCTTATCTGTATGTGTATAGACTGAGGTATCTTCCTGGTTGTTGTGCTCTCCTCTCTTGCTTTTTCTTTTTCTTGTTTTTAAACCTCATTTAGAAAGGGCTGCGACATGCATCCTTTAATTCCCTGTTTGTGTCTTATTTATGAACAGGTTGGGTGAGGGCTATGGCTGTTCGGTTCCTGTGGAAAGCAGCTACATTTGTACAGAAGCACAGGACAGCTGTTTTGGCCACCTCCTGCACAGGACTGTTTGGTGCTAACCTTTTACATCATATCTTTCCCGAACAGACATGCAAACTGTTGTATCAAACCTGGATCGAAGGGCAGCCAGTAGAGCTTTCAGAGAGGCTGCAAGGCCTCCTCCATGACGTCCTTAAAGATGTTGGTGTGGCATCTGCCCATCGCTACCGAGCCTTTGTGGCTTTCTGCTTCCACCCCGTGAGCGCTGGGATCTCATGGCTGCCCTTGGGTTCGTTGGTGGGCATCCCTGCAAACTTCAGCACAGCTGAGGACAGACAAGGAATCGTCAACCATGTTGTCATAATAAATGACAAGGAAGTAGACTGGGACAGTAAAGAAGGGCATGCTCTGAAGGATGCCCTGACATTTTCACTGGAGGCTCAGAAATTTGCCATCTCCAGAGAGGTTGTGTACTTGCAAACCAACAGCCCCATCATTAAGGCAGCTGTGGCTCCCACTTGCTTAGCTGGCACCTTCATCTCAGCGGTGGCGATAAAGCAACATCTGGACTTGTATTCTAGCCCATTGGCACTACGAATCATTTTTAACTTGATTATTGCCACGATTGGACTTCTCTGCTACCATTTTGCTTCTGATTCAGTGAGCCGCTCTTTGGATTACAGGGCGGACCGAAAGGCAGCTGCCATTTCCAAAGACTATGCCAGAGGTGGGGTGGAGTTTTATGACAAAGTCCTGTCTCGCAACAGGATTATTCGTGCTCTTATGGGCAAACAGGGGCAGCGCGTGTATGCCCCCAGCGGTAATCTTTTCCCCAGGAACTTGTTCAGATTAAAGCACGCTCCATTCACCTCCAGAAGAGACTTGATCATTAATATTCTAAACATGTCCCAAGAGTTGGAAAAGAGTGATTAATTTTAAACTTGTTAATTATGTGCTCTCTTGAAATGCTTCCATGCTGTCTTTCCACCTCCTGCCCACCCCCTTTGCATCTTCATTAGTGCTCCAATTTTTCTTTCTGTATATAGTGTGGAAGTCGTTGTTACTCATTTTGTGAATAAAATCCTTCCCTTAAAATATTAAAGACCTACTTCAAAAGTCTTCTGTCCTATGTGCATCTTAAAAGCCACTCAGGGAGCCACTTCTCAGATATTTATTCAGGAGTAGTTTTATCAACTTGTAGCTTTGGAATCACTTCTGACAAATGGAAAAGGTAAAGCAGAGCAGAACTTTGTGGCACTTTTAAAGAGAAGTGTGTATGAGAGAGAGAAAATATGTGTGTGTGTGTGTGTGTGTTCATGCACATGCACATGCATACATATGTATAGAGAGTAGTAATTTTATCAGATTATAGAAAGAATGTACTTGTAAAATGAGTTGAAGTATAAACTCTGATGGGAAA